TCAAAGGCAAAGGAAACGGTCAATAAAACATCGACATCATGGGATCTTACCCTGGATGACCCTATTGTCTGCTCATCCTCTGCGCCTAACAACCAAGCCCAAGAAGAAATTTCAAAAAAGCCAATAACTATAGTTATTGATGATGATGATGGTGACGAGGATGATGACTTTCTGGGATGTAACCTAGCACCGTCGGATGATATCGATGACCACAACGACGATGAAGATCTTTTCAATTTCGATGCCTCCCAGTCATCAACGTTTGGTATTTCAAAGAAGACCACACTGCTGCTTGAACAACTTAGACGAGAGGCAGAGTCCAAGGGTAGATCAAAAAAGAAGAAGAAAGTGGAAGATGACTTTGATTCGTTATCAGAGGGCGATGCGCTGCCTTCCACGAAACAAAAATCCGTAAGACGGCAACCAAGCAGTCAAACAGCGGGTAAAAATGCAGACAAGACAGCGAAAGCACTGGAGCGAGAGGCAGCAAAACTTCGCCGACAACAAGAGAAGGAACTGCAAAAGGAAGAAAAGCGGAAGCAGAAGGAAGAGAAAGGAAAGCAAAAGCGGATTGCAGCTGATATCGCAGAGGCAAACAAGTCGAAAGTGGACAAGGCCGTGTCGGTTGGAGAGATGATTGTTGACATATCCTCTAACTTCCAGGACACCAGCATCGGCACTCAGACAGAGGAACATATGCGCAATCTGGGGGTGGAGATGAACTTTTCATCCTCACAGATACCCAATATCGTCTCATGGAGACGGAAAGTAACCGCACAATATACTGATGCAGGACATTGGGAACCATGTGCGCCAACCATAAAAGCCGAAGGTCATGTACTGTGTTTCTTCACCGGGGATGAATTTGCCGAGATGGCTGTTGCAGCTCCGGCCTGCAATAACACGGTCAAGGCGTATTTCCAGAAAATAAGCGGAGAATATCCGAGTCGCAAACAGATATATCTCATCGAGGGCTTAGCTGCCACCATCAGGAAAGGCAAGAACTCGCGCAACCGGTCGTACCAGGCTGCTGTTCTGCAACAGATTGACGACAACCAGGCCAACTCAGGCGCTGCTGGGCAGCCACCACCACCACCACCATCTGCAAGAGCAGCAGCAACAGTATCATCCCAACCCAAGCGGAAGAAAGCAAACTCCAGCAAAAAGACGTCCAGTACAACCCATGTGATTGACGAAGACGCCATTGAAGACGCCTTGCTTCAGCTGCAGGTTGTCCACTCATGCTTGGTGCACGAGACTGCCAACTCGACTGAAACTGCCTCATGGATCAAGAACTTCACCGAACATATCTCGACGGTTCCCTATAGGCGGGAACTGATGAAGAGCCAGGATGCGTCGTTCTGCATGGATGTAGGACAAGTTAGGACTGGGGATGATGCGGGGGATGCATATGTTCGAATGATGCAGGAGGTCAGCCGTATTACGGCGCCGATAGCGTATGGCGTTGCTACGCAGTTTCCTACTGTTGGCAGGTTGGTGGAGGCGTTTGATCAGGGAGGTGCACTGCTCCTTGAAGATGTTAAGGTATGTTATTATTGTGTGTGTGTGTGTTTGAACGCACCAGCCAGCCAGCCACCTTTTCAAGGACCATATTCTAATGAGCTGGAGTAGAAATGTGCGAATAAGACTGGTGCCATGACCGAAGCCCGGATTGGACCGGCCATCAGTCGACGGCTCTATACCATCTTTACCAGTATGGACGCGGCGTCTTCAGACGTGTGACTGTTATCTTTTGCTTTTTGCTTCACCTTTGTTTTTGGTTTTGGGAGGTATCTTCGGGCATTATCGCCTTTGGAACTTACTTGAGCATATTTAGATAGATTATGGTTGGAGGACGTTACTTGGATATTTGCTTCTAGTATATGATATTGAACAAGTTGGTATTCAATTGGTATATTGCACGATGAGGATGCAATGCAATGCAGCTGCCGAAACAGAAGTATATGCAGTAAAAAGTGAAAAATATAATATAATATAAACCGAAACCAAAACGCCCATATGACCAAATGGTAGAATGTATGTGTAGATGTATATATCGGTTTAGATTAAACCGGAATGCTTCGTCTCTTCCACCCTCTCCAAGCAACCATCCACATGCTGGCAGCAATCAAAACACCAATGACACTGCCCACGGCCCAAAACCCATAGCACTTCCAGCCAAAGCACTGTCCGTTGTCAGAGACATTAGCATCATACTCGGCAGAGTAGATGGCCCCTGACAGGCCGGCACCGGGGGCCTGGATCATGGAAACAATAGCCCAATTGGTGCCGAAGTTTTCCACCCCCCAGACAACAGAGATGATGATGGGGACAAGGGAGAAACAGGCGCCGTAGCCGAAGCCAATGAAGGTGGTTGTTAGGTGTAGGAGAGAAGGGAAGGAGAGTGGAACGGGGGAGGAGAGGATCAAGTAGCCTAGTGAGACGAGGAGGGCGCAGGGGATGAGAAAGAAGAGACGGGAGAATGTCCGTCGGTCTGAAGTTGATGCTGGTCTGGGAGCGAAGTAGTCTGAAAGAGAGCCCGTGATGAGACGGGCGAGGGTAGAGGTTAGTGCCATTAGAGCTACGTGGGTTGATGGCTCTCCTGCGGGCAAGGGAGTGCCTGGTTTGTCTTGGGCTGAAGGGGGTGAGAGGGTGCTGGTAAGAGTGCCGACCTATTGCCTGTGTCAGCATATATAGAGAGAAAGAGAGAGCGAGAGGAAAGTTGGAGGTAGAAAACGAAAAAAAAAAAAAGAAAAGGCTGAGACTGACGTTGTTCATGTATGCCTCTCCAGGGCCGGAGATGAGGATGAAGCCGAGGGAGAGCAGCCACATGGTCCTGTCGTGGAGGAAGAGCTTGGTTTCCTGGTTAAGCAGCCATGTCTTCTTCAGCTTGTCGTCCGGATGGGTATCAGCCTGGGCGGTGTTACTGGTATCATCGTGGCCATGGCCAGCACGGAAAGTCCCGTACTGCCCGTCTGTATCAACCAGCAGTCCACTCCGCTCGAGCTCCTCGACACCGACCTCGATAAGTTTCTCTTCGTCAACCACGTTGAGTGCGAATCCGCCTATGACTCCGACGGTAAAGGTGACGATGGCGAGGAAGACGAAGAAGCGGAAGACATCTACGTCTCCGTGGATAAGGTCTACTCCGGACCCATCGCTGTGAGCGGTGGAGTCTGCACCGCGGTAGACGAAGAACTTGACCAGGAAGCTGTACCAGATGCCGCTGAGCCCGTAGGCAGCTATGGGGGCAGCCAGCATGATGCCCTTGTGCTTGCTGGAGGCGTAGTTCTTTGCACTTGTGGTGACGGCAGAGAAGTACATGCAAGCTGTGGCCGCGCCGATGATGGCATAGGCGATGACCATGACGCCGAACGGCCAGCCGTGAGGCCTCGGTGGGCCGTCATCCTCAGGCAGGCCGACCAGGAGGCTGGCTGGGGGTCCCGAGCGGTAGGTGAAGGCTGCGAGCAGGTATCCAGCGCCGAAGAGGACGGCGGAGATGAAGGAGACGAGCGAGGGCCGGACTCTGTCGCAGAGGAAGCCGAACAACGGGGCGCTCAGGTAGGTGAGCATCTCCGCCGTAACGGCGATGACGTTGACCCGGAACTGGGTGTAGTGCAGGCGGGTGAGCAGCAGCGGGCCATAGAGGGAGAATGCAGCTATTCCTCCAGCGGATAGTCTGTGGTACGTAGAGCAGGCAGATTATATATATATTAGCCGGGGGATGTTGCTGCTGTCCAGGGCGGATTTGGATATCACCTACGCGTTGAGGACGCTGGAGACAAAGGCGACCAGACGGACAACCTCCTTGCGAGCGTTCTCTCTCTCCCTCTCTGTGTCCCTCGTCTGCGTCCTGACGAGCGGCATGTCTGGTCCGTCGGCCATGCTGCCGCCGTCACTCTCGCTGTCGCTGTCGCTGTCACTGGCGATGTCTACAGGGTCGGGCCGCCTGTCCGCCATCTTGCTGTCTATCGCCATGGTTTTTGTCCGTCTGTCTGCTGCTACCTCTCTTCGCCAGTCCATGCCGTCCGGTATAAATAGTCATCCTTTCAAGTCATGGTGACCTGGTCATGCTGACGGGGAGGTGGGTGGTCGTGGGTGGTTGCTGGTCTGGATGTGAATGCAGATGACGTCCGGCTATTGAGAGTCGTGCCCCGTATAGCTAACTAATAACTATAGCTAAGAGCTTCTTCAGCCAGCCATCCAGTTACGACTGCAACACCCACAGCACCCACTCAACACACGGCTTTGACAGCAAGCACTAACTACAAAAACTACTAAGTACTACTGACTGGCTGGACTGGCTGCTGGTAGTAACTTCATCGACAGGAGCAGTGGGAGCCAGCAGGCAAGCCACTCAGCCAGGGGTTCGTCCATCCCTCAAGCCTCACTCTGCAGCTGGCCCGACTAGGCCCTCGGACTAGTTGCATCGCCTACTTCTACCTCTACCTCTACCTCTACCTCTCTCTACCTGGCTGCAGGGTAGCCCGTCTGTATCTCATGTATAGCTGTCCGACTATAGACCAGATAAGAGGCCGACGGGACAGGCCAGGACAGCACGATCTGGAGCCTGCATGCGAGACACCGTCGATAGGCGCCTGCAGCTGAGCTACCAGCCCAGCCTTGGAGGGTCCGGCGTCCAGAGGTAGCGCCTTGTATATCGCTCATGATGTCATGATCTATCCTCTTGTCTTTGCTACATCTTGACTTGCTGTGTCCTGGTTGTCGTCGTAGAATATTCCTATACCATTATCACCATCGTCAGCATCTTCAGCATCAGTAGTATCATCACCACCAGCACGGAGTACTTCGTAGTATCATGAGTAGTATCAGCGTCTTCCGTCTGTCCAGTTCAGCCCTCTTGGTAGCGCATCTTCGTCCTCTGAAGCTGGCCAGGCACGTTCCGGGATGATTGGCGCGGTCAGGAAGAGCCCGTTGGGCCATGCTGGGCCATGCAGCGGTACTTCTATCGCCCACCAGATTTGTATGGCAGCCAGAAGTCACTCGCCATCGCCTCGCATTCGACGACCCTTTTCCGTCTCTCGTCTCGTCTCGTCTCGTCTCGTCTCGCCTTCGTCTCCTCCAGCGGCCGTCGTCAGGATCGACCAGACTCGAAACACGTTGCGCAGGAAGCTCTCGTCTTTTGTCTTCTTCTCGCCGTCGGCGTCGTCGTCGTCGTCTTCTTCTTCTTCTTCTTCTTCTCGTTCTTCCTCCTTATCAGCTTCTCTCTTCTTCATCTTCCTGCTTATCCGCTGCTGCTCCCTCCTTGCTCCCTGTTTCTCCTTTCTCCTTAATCCCTCCTTGCCCTGTCACAGCCAGCAGCAGCCAAACGTGACTTTCTCTTAGGACTTTTCCTGCTCCTCGGCCAGCTTCATCTCTTCATCATCATCATCATCATCATCTTCTTCTTCTTCTTCTTCCTCTCCTCAGCTTCTCCTCGTGGCGGTGTCCTTTTCCCTTCCTCGCCAGCCAAAAAGAAAGTACTTAACGCTCTCTCCCTCCCCTTCGACCTCCACTTCTTCCATCCTTCTTCTTCTTCTTCTACCTTCTCTCTCTCTCTCTCCTTATATATATCTTCCTCCTTTCTATATCCCTTTGACTCTCCCACCAGCATGGCCGGCTTCGGCCTTCCTCACCCGCTTCTTCACCTCGCTTGATCTTCTTCTTCTTCTTCGTCTCTTCTTCTTTTTTTTTTTTCTTATTTATTTATTTTTTTCTTTTTTGTTGCTTCTCCTGCTTAGTCATCTCCTCACGTGACATCCCTTTTTGGGCTTCCTTTTTTTTTCTTCTTTTTTTTTTCTTTTTCAACTCTTTTTTTTCGAAGCAGCAAGAAAAAAAAAAGCGACGACGAGGAAAGAAAGAAAAAAGAAGAAGAAGAAGAAAAGAAAAAGCTTGAAGGACTCAAGAGAAGCAGAAGAAGCAGACAGATCACTCTCGCGGCCCCAGAAGTGAACAACAGGCGAACGCAAAAAACAAAGCAAGGGCAAAAAAAAAAGGTTGCTCTCGTATTCCGCAGTGAAAGTCCACTCCAAGCCCGCCATCACCGACCAACCATCACCATCACAACCACCACAACCGACCACCGCCGACCACAGGTCAACCAGCATCCTGCATATAAACCGCCCCAAGCCATTGAATAGACCGCCGGGAAAGACGCTCTCGAGATACACAGCTGGTCGCCAATGTCCTCCCCATGTCAGCCTCCGCTTTTGCTTCCGACAACCGCGCCACGGAGCCCAGCAGCGCGTCTGCAGCAGACCCTCCAGCTACCCTTCTAGCATCGTCACCACCACCACCGCCAACAGCAGCAACAGTAGCAACATCCACTTCAGCACCGCCAGCAACCTCCTCTCCGGCCGCTGCGGCACCGGAACCAGCTATTGATTCCCGTCTTTCGCCCTTCTCCGCTCCCTCAAAGTCGGTGCCTCCCTCGCCGCCCCAGACTCCCCTGATAAAGCCGTCGGCAGTGCCTCCGCTGCCAGACCACCACGCACACCCGTCCCTCAAGCGCACCAACACCTGTCCCGGCCTGACGCCCACCTCTTCCTCTTCCTCGGTCTCTACCTTTGCGGCCAAGCCGTCCTCGGGTGCACAGCAGTACGGCTCTCAGTCTCCCCAGCTGACGGAGCGGGACTCCATCTTTGCTACTCACTATCTTCCCTCAGAGCCAGACAACGAACAGGAACAGGAACAGGAACAGGAGCAAGATCGGGAGCAAGATCAGGACCAGGACCGGGCAGACGAGCAGCAGGGCACATACGACTTCCGTCCCCGCCAGCTGAACACCAGATATGTCAGTTCGCTCTCCTCGTCTCTCGGTTCGGCACGATGGCAGCCAGCTCCCTCGCCAGATCCAATACCAACTCTAGATGACCGCATGACCCACCAACATCACCAGCAACATCACCAGCACCAGCACCAGCAGTTCGCATTGCCCACCCGCTCTCGCACCGTAACCGACTTCTCCTCCCTCTCAAACCACGATAACACCGGTGTAAACAACAATTCCGGCATCCCTCTCACCTTTGACCGTCTCTCACCACGTCCATCGCCTGTCTTCCGCCCCCAGCCAGGTCCAGACAGAGGCCGAAGTCATCACTCCCAGGGCCAGGGACAGGGCCAGAACCAGAACCAGGACCAGGACCAGGAAGAATCGTCCTCTGGCACTGACACAATGGCTCTCCTCGCTTCCCGGGACCTTAGCTCCCACCTCCATAATCACCACCACCCCCATCATATTCACCGTCATCCCCATCATAATCAGCATCAAAACAACAACAACAATAACAATAACCTCATACGTGGACGCACTTCTAGAGTCGAAAAGTCTATCGAAGCTAGCTTGGCCAACGTCGATCCTAGTGCCAATGTTCGCTCCCGCAAGTCAAGCCACTACCTTGGGCTCTTCAAGGAAAACACCGGCGAGCCAGAACGCAGGAAGAGCATTGCTCCAGAACTTGCCTCTCTTGACGAGCTCTCGGGTGTCGGTGTGGGTGCAGGTGCCGCCCGGCCGGATATCACTTCAGCCGACGAATCGCCAGCCGTCGTCCCCAAGGAGCTTCTAGACGAGATCCGGAGCCACCAGCATCGCCGCCAGGATGGTGCATCCCCCGCCAATGGAGCTCAGCCAGGGCTACCAAGGTCCATTCCATCTCGTGACACTCGAATGCTCTATCCCGGTCACGCGCTCGAGGGCTTCTCTCCAGATTCAGACTTTGCTGCCGCCCGGCCTGGTCTGGCCGAATCGGTGTTCGAGGACGATGACGAGGACAAGGAGCGTATATCCTCCGCCCTCTACTTCCCACACCAGCGCCCTCTCGAAGCTGCAGACAAGGATGTCGGTAACAAACTGCAGCCGGAACAGCCACTCTTCTCTTCCCCGGCCAACCTAAAGCCCTCCCTCAGCGAGACCAACCTGGTCGATATCTCCCTCTTCTCAAAGACTGAAAAGAGCCATTTCACCGGTGACCTGCGCAAGACCATCCCCGAGCCTATAGAGCCGCCCGTCTCTTCTTCCTCTGACCCTCACGCCGTCTCCGTGCCTTCCGGCGCGGCCGCTGTCGTGGTCGAACCAGCAACCGACATCTCTGAGTCCGACTACCTCTCTGCCTCGGAAAGCTACACCTCCACAACTCACGACGAACCGGAGGACGACGATGACCTGTCTTCCCACGATGAGGCGGCTGGAACCGCTCCTCGGGGCACTCCCAGGCCATCTCGCCCCCAGATCAAGCATCCTCAGTCTCAGCACATACGCTCGCCGACTACTCCCCTCGGTGCCGTCGAGCTGAAGCCCTACCGTCACCAGGTCGGCGGCCACACCACCGTCTTCCGCTTCTCCCGGCGTGCAGTATGCAAACAGCTAAACAACAGAGAGAACCAGTTCTATGAACGTATCGAGAAGAGACACCCGGAAATGCTCGTCTTTCTCGCCAGATATATCGGTGTTCTGAACGTGACTTTCTCCAAGGGATCGAAAAAGCCCAGCAAGAAGGATAATAATAATAATAATAACAAGGATGACAATGCTGCGGTCACATCAGAGCCTGCAGCAGCCAAGTCTACAACAACCGTTGATGCCCAAACCTCTGCCGTCACCTCTACTGCGTCTTCCCCGCCGAAACGCACTGAGTCAGGCAAGGCTAATAATGGCCAACGCATCTTCAGCCAGTCCCAAGTCACCGGGGTTATACCCAAGGTCATCCTGGAGAATAACCGCCACATCATCCCCTTTGACCTCTTCATGACCCCCCAGTCGGCCAAGTCCACCAGCGGCAGCGGACATGCCACACCCACCCAGTCTCACTGTGGCTCGCTCGAGGATGTCTCTGCCAATCTCACCTGCTCTCCCAAGTCGACACCTGAACTCAATGGAGAGTCCGACAAGCCTCCAGCATCCATGACATGGGGTGCCACCACCGTCAACACAAAGCTCCAGGAACAGGTTCTGCGGGAGGTCTTCACTCCTCCCACTATATACTCGCACCATCAACGCCGTCACCGTGGTCCAAGAAACATTCCTAAGTTACTATCTGGTGCCTCTTCCCTACGTAAGGATGGGAAACTCTTACCCTTGCATAGGGGACGCAGTGAACTTTCCGTCTCTGCAGCTGGTAATCCCGCTCTTTCATCTTCTGCTACTGCTTCCATGCAAGAGGATACAGCCACCCGAGTGTCTGGCCAGCGTCGTCGACGGAGGCACTCTGGTTCTGGCCTCGAGAGGAAACGCAGCATGAGCACTGGTCCCGGCGATCTCATGTTCTACGAGGACGAAGGATACGGTGGAGACAAGGAGGACGAGATCTTTAAGATGGAAGATGATGTACGCCTGCCTGTCAAGTCTGATAGTACCCCTACCAGAGGACGCGAGCAGGTTACCCTTCCTGTCTCCCTAGGTACATCAACCGGCGAACCCGTACGTCTACCCACCAATCCCAAGGAAGCCCAGACAACCACCACCAGCGAGGATCGTGTGCAATTTTTCCTGCTCCTCGAGGACCTCACTGCCGGAATGAACAAGCCCTGTGTTCTGGACCTGAAAATGGGGACCCGCCAATACGGCATCGACGCCGACGAGAAGAAAAAGAAGTCTCAACGCCGCAAGTGTCAGAGCACTACCTCCCAACAACTCGGCGTTCGGCTCTGTGGCATGCAGGTCTGGAACGTCAGCAAGCGCGAGTACCTCTTTGAAGACAAGTACTTTGGCCGTGACCTCTCGTCTGGCCGCGAATTTCAAGATGCCCTCACTCGCTTCCTCTACGACGGAGCAGACTATAGTTCGGTCATCGGCAAAATACCCATCATCCTTGACAAGCTCTCCCAGCTCGAAAGCATGATTGTCCGTCTCCCCGGCTACCGCTTCTACGCCTCTTCTCTGCTCATCCTCTATGACGGGGACCGTGACCGCTCCTCCAACTCCCCCTCATCTCCCTCCAAGGACTCAAAATCCCACCGCACCATCTTCGAAACATACTCGGACTCATCCCTTCCCAACCCATCAAACCTCACGCTGAAAATCGTCGACTTTGCAAACTGCGTCACTGGCGAAGACGGCATCCCACCTTCATCCCGCTGCCCACCACACAACCCCACAGATATAGACAGAGGTTACCTCCGCGGCCTACGCACGCTACGCATGTACTTCCAGCGCATCCTACGCGAAGTCAGTGCTAGTGTTGGTGAAAACTATGTCGAGCGTGGAGAAGGCGAGGCACTCTCCGCGGCACCCTCGAGCGTTGTTGGAGCCGGCCGGGAAAGAGGAGAAGCGTGGGCATGGGATGAAGCCCTGGGCGAGCTAGAGGAGGGGGAGATCAGTGTATAAAAACTGATATACACGCATACAACCCAAACGCATGACATTATATTTTCCAACCCAACACACCACTGCAAGATACCCTTACTTACCCTTATTTAACCCCCCCAAATCCCCGCTCTAGTTTTCCTTTTCTTTTCTTAGTCTTGTGCCTGTGCTTTTGCTTCCTTTCTTCTTCTCCTTTCGTTTATTTTCTTCCATCGGTATCGGCATGGTCCACGGCACGGAAACAGGCGCCGGCGCAATCGGGAGCGAGGGAACTGAATTGACCAACGACCCCAACCAATTAAAGACGGATACGGCGTTATTTTACCTTCTTCACTTTGCATGTGTTTGTTATTCTTATTCCCCTTCCAGCTAGTTAAGCAATTGTTTTACTTCTTACTTTTTATATTTTATTTTTTATTTACTTTTTTTTTCCCACATCCCCGTTCTCATACTTTAAAATTCCTCCACCTTTCTCCTCCTTTTTTTCTTTTTTTCAAGGCTTCGGGATATCTTGTTACGGGATGGATGGTCGGCCGCCAGTGGCTGCCATCGTTAGGCGAAACGGCGAGGCCAGGGATGGCCACGGATAACAAAAAAAGAAAGGAAGGGAAAAAAAAAGAAACAAAAAAGAAGATACATCCTGCATTACTTGTTTGCACTCATACACCCATCCACGTTGTTCAGCTTGTTCGTTTCGTTTGCCTGTCTCGTCTTGCCCTTTTTTATCCTGCGTTCTCACGAGGATGTTTGTCACTTTTATATCGTTGCTTCTTCTCGGTTGTTTCAAAGATTGATTCCTCACCTTACTTATTATTACTCATACCTTTCTCGCTTTATGAACGGGAGATGGAGTTTCCGGTGTCCCTTCGGGGTCGTCTCTGCCTTGTCTTATCTATTTCCTTGCTCGTTGCTTTCCTGTGTGTTTGCTTGCTTGTTTGTTCGGCGCTCGTTTTCCGGCTTCCTAATCTATGACTTTATTCAATTATCTATTCATTAACTCGGGACTGATGATTTTTTTTTCTTCTTCTTTTCATTCTCCTTCTCCTTATTCTTTTCTCCTATTGTATTTGACGTATCGGCTATCTCCTTCACTGGGTTTCCTTCCTTGCTGGGATGAATGATTTATGACAATGGGATCGGATTGGTAGGCAAAAAAAGGTCGGCTATCAAAATATTCCTTACTTATTACAGCGTACATCTTAGAAAATGCCACACTTCAAATCATCGTAGCCTCTCTCGATTTACTTTTACTTTGCTTTTGCCCGAGACAAATAGGGAAGCTGAATGGTAATAATATTGATAAAACTTCTCAGTTCAAAATTACTCCTTGCTTGCCCAACGATTCCCTAATGTATGCGTATGTATGCACCTGTACCCATTTCATTAAGCCAGCTATCCAAATGGAATATCCTCGCTTGCACTCGAGGGAGGAAGAAAGAAGAACAAGAAGCAGAACAAAAAGGCCAGAAATAATATAGTAAAACAAAATGTCGAAATCGAACAGAAGAAGAAAAAAGCAAAGCAAAGCAACGCCGCGCCATGTCGATGTCAACATCCCTCGCCTGTGCCAAAGGCATCCCGAAGAAATGAAATAAAAGAAAAAAATAAAATAGAAAAGAAAAGGAAAAGAGAACCCCTTATACTCTCCCGTTGCCTTTCTCCTTTGCCTTTTCCTTCTTCCTCAATACTCCCAGCTGTTCCAGTCGATTCCATACCCAGTCCTTTTTCACCCTGACTGCGCCTTCGTGGGCATGGACATGTGCATCTCCAGGACCGACATGCCCGCCGCCGTCATCATCATTAATTTCGTTGTCATCCGGCGAACTGCACTGCGGCAGACCGTCGAGATACGTTAGTCGTCCTGACGTAGCATTCTGGATCATCAGTTCTATCACTCGTCGCCGGAGCCGGGTAGGCTCGTCGAGGTGTGCCTGGTACTTCGCATCTGCGAATGGATCCGCGAACGGGACGGTGTACGGGTCATCCACCTCCTTTTCATTGTTTTCCACTTCGTTTTGTTCCTCGTGAGCGTCCAGGGGAGGGTAATCAATGTAGTTGTTAGAGTGGTATGAAGGGTGTCGGGCAATGTCCTTTCCTCCTCCGATGTATGGAAGTGACCGGTTAAGGAGGTCGTCATCGTCCGCTTTGTGTTTGATAAGGTCCCGCTGGGTGTTCTTCCCTGTGTATCTTTGCTGCGGCTTCCCGCTTCCTGATACTGGCGGTGGATAGAATCCAACAGTTATCGGGTTTCCTCGTAGGTCGACTCTGGTCAAGGAACCGTGGGCTCCGCCAATTTCAGCTAGGACTTTGCACATCCGTCGGAGTCGTGCGATGCGGTTGCCTACCAAGGTCAACCGGTTCAGTCGTTTTATGCCTCGTAGACCATTGATATCCGGTAAGGCGTTAAAATTCAGATTAAGTGTCTTTAGGTTAGAAAATGTTTCCCCAAATTGCTCAGGCAAAGCCTCAAGCGTGCACGAGGCCAGGTCTAAAAGTTGCAAGCTTAGAATGGGAGTATCTGGTCTGAGTGTGTCTGCTGAGAGGAAGTTCGATGAAAGGAATAGTTTGCGGATTGAAGACACCTTGCCCAGATTAAGATTTATCGGTATAGGTTCAGCATAGCTAGTAGAGCCACTGGGGTCATTAGAGGGTATACTTTGCTCCCTCATAGAGAGGGTGTCGAGGAATCGACAATCCTCAAGCTTCTCCACAGTGCTGAGATGATTGCAGTCGACATATAGTACACGCAATGACGGGAAAACCGACAAATCAAGTTGGCCGAGACGGTTCCCGGACAATTTGAGGATGTCTAGACGCCGAAGAGGTCGACGTACCTTGAACTCTTGCATCTGGTTTTTTCGAAGATCAATGGTCTCAATCCCATGTAGGGCATCAAGATTCTGTATGGTATGAATGTCATTGCCACTCAGGTCCAGTTTACTCAGTCGGATGCTATCAAATGTTAGCCATATGTTCTATTATTTCAATGATGAGCATACTTACAGATCAGCATGCTTAAAGTCCACGGAGGTCAATTGATTATTTGAGACTTTTAGCGTTAATAGACCATCTAGCCCAAAGATCCCCTTGATGCAGGTGAGCTTATTATTGCTCGCATTCAGACTCCGCAGGTGATATAAATTAGAGAGACCGTCAAGATTGTCCAAGTCGTTACCGGATATGTCGAGATACTGAAGATTCGATAGATGGCTCCATGAAGTCAGACTAGAAAGGCAATTATATGGCGAGTCGAGGCTTCGGACCGTTGCTGGGATACCATTTAGGTGAGCGAGTTTGTTCTCTCCTACATCCAACTCCTGGAGCTGAGGACAATACTTGTCAAGCTGATGGAGTGTTAAAAGTCTCTTCCCCCTAAGGACCAGCCGACGCATCTGTTCCCAGTATGCCTCATATGGCTCTGCGTCTGTAATGTGTTGCACAATGTCCTCAGCGGCTAGTGCTAGTTTCCCGTGTAGTTGTCGTAGTGCGTGTGGGTTAGCGCGTTTGGCAATATAACTGCGCTCTCCTCTCATGGACTCATCAACTTGATTGACTGTGAACTCTGACAAAGGGCTCATGTGGAAACTGTAGTTGCTCGAACCCAGGTTGGGTGGAGCAATCATAACCGACCGATCAACATCTGCTACCGATGGTATAATAGAGAGATCGTTGTTCTGCTCTTCACCCTGGTCATCAATTGATTCTTCAGTGCCTTCCTGTATGCACGATAGTTCAAAACAATCTTGTTCTGGTAATGGAATATCATGCGGTGGGACATTTCCTAGTGGACTTTGAGGTGCGGCATCAGATATCCACTCGCGAGCTTCTTGGGTATGCTCGGAGCATAATTCGTCTTCGCCCTGGTATGCAACTCCAGAAACCAATGGAGAGGAAAAAGTGATTGTGCCAGATCGTGTACGGGTGTTTGGCTCATGCAACGGCCCACTGTAGACATCTGGTTGTTGTTCGATTTGCTCCTCTTGATCAAGGACTTGAGGCTTTTCGAGGCTTATTTTATGGTTTTGGAACTCTTCTGATCCCCAGGAAGTAGCTCTGGTGCCTGGCTTGGGAACACTAACCGTAAATCGAGTGTATTTGGACTGTACAGAGCTTGACTCAGACATAGGATTCTGGGCGCTCTCGCGAGTCTGTGGGCGAGGATTGTGCTCAGCTTGAAAAGAGGCCTTCTTCTCGGGCTCTGGTGGGAGAGACTCCTCAGGCAATGGCAGTGCAGGCCCAGAGCCGAATACAGTCCCCGCTGGCATTAGACCGCGAGCGAGAGCAAGTTCTTTCAGCTCGTCGACACTAAGATCAGATATATCTTTGAAAGGGTCATCTTCACTGACAGTTTGGGAGCGATTATGAGCATCTGGATCGGACCTGGCGGGATTCTTTACCCAACATTGCGTATTTCGATCAAATATCATTTTCCCAATGTTTTCTGGAATCAAATGGGAAACTCGATCCGAAGATATGACTCCCTTTGCACCAGAGCTATTGGCAGAGCCCTGCGAAAATCCGGTCGGGAGGCTTGTTGCTGACTTTTGGCTCTTGACGGATTCCTCTGACCGAAGTACTAGCTCGCCCTGCTGCCCATCACGACGGACATTAGACCTTATCCGGATATTCTCAGGACTGCTTTCCACAGTATCGTCAAAGTATCCAGCATCTCGATGGGGTGACTGATTTGGATGTAGCAGACCATTTTGTTGTCTGAATTTCAACGTTCCAACGGAAGCACCCATTCCAACGTGGAACTCGTCTTTCTCTTCGAACTTCTTCAAGTGGCTGATAATTCTTGGGTTTGGCGGAGGCAATTCTCTCTGTTTTCTTAAATCAACACCGTCACGGCTGGGAGGCCGTGAGAACTGTTCTTCGCTGGACGCGTCACTGTATAGAGCGGAATCATCCTCATAGATGGTTTGATAACCCTCATTTCGCCGGGTAGAGCCGCTTATTGGCCCTCCCTGGGCCCTGATATGGTCCATCACTTTGGATGCTTCATTATAGTATTCCTGGGTGGTAATCGAGCCTTTCCTGGGGTGTTCAATGTGGAAAACAAAGCTGGCACCGGGACATGCCGCTGTTTCCTGCTTGTCAGGGCCAGCAAACAGGGACTGGCCGTTCGCTGTGATAGGTCGGAAACTAGTCGACGTAGGGGCAGCTGGCCTTGAGTAGGACGGAAGACGTTGTTGACTTTCATCCATACCTTCGGTGAGGGAATGATTAGAGAAAGGCCCCGTAGAATCAAGTATTGACTCGTCCCAAACCTGATCTTGGCCTGGGAGAACTTGCAGTGTCCTCCTTCTTTTTGAGACTGTGATTTTCGACGACCGTTTCAGGCTCCTTTTAGCCTCTGTTTTGGACAGGGGTGGTAGCTGTTTCTCGTATGCTTGGTGCGGGCTGCTGTTTTCTTTATCCTGTGGTGAACTGGGGACTTGAAGTAAATTCCGAGGTTGTTTATTATCCATTCCTAGGTGTGTAGTATGGTTCGACCTGGAAATATTGGTTCTGGAGGACAACTTAGGCAGCCCATCTGGGCTCATGTCCTCGCGCTCCGCATCGAGATGACTAGCATCGTCCGCACCTGAGTCGTTGGCAGCCTCGAACTGGCTCATCCTGCGCAGGAGCTTGTTGCTTGTGTAGGTATCATGGTTTCCAAACAGCTTCAAAGGGCTTCCTGATGACGAGGGTCTGGGTTTTGAGCTATTCTCTGCCAGCTGTTCCACGTCCGGGGGAGAGTGAAGGCGTATTGATGGCGGTGTTTGCGGTGTCTGTGGTACAGGAGGTATCGGGACTCCCCCCTCTAGTATCGAGCTTTGAGGGTGCGGTGGGCGTGACGACGCGCTAACCGTCCGTATGCGAATGGAGTCGCTGTCCGAATAGGCTGCTTGACGTGAAGTGTCCAATGCGTCGCCCGGTGACGTGCAGTCCTGTGTACCCATTGACAAGCCCTCTGGTAGTGATATAGAAGTAAGGTTCTCGGAATCGGCATCGAGGCTATCGTCTTGCAGGCGGCTGTCACTGCAAGCAGCCATGTTCTCCAAACGTGTCGGACTCCGGCTCGACTGGTTGCGTTTGGGCAGTGAGATGTAGCTGGCCTCGTTATCCCGTATGACACTAGCGCTGGCATGGCTGCTGGAGCTCAGTCTTGAGTTGAATTCGATGCTCAGGGAGGAGAGGTGTTCTCGCAGGGGCTCGATGCCTTCAGCCTGGTTCTTGTGCGGCGTGTAGGGCCTGCCATCACCTCCTATCATGACCTCTGACATATGTTCCATCCACGATGTGTCGCTTCCTCCATGAGAATCGCGAAAAGGCCCTCCGCGGCTCCTCTGGCTCCTCTGGCTTCGCTGGCTTCGCTGGCTCCGTTGACTCCATAGGCTCCGTTGGCTCCGTTGGCTCCTCTGCGTGCCATTTGTTCTCTGGCTGTGGAACGGTTCGCGGGCAGATGATACGCCGTCCTGGCGAGCGGCCGCATCAGCAGCCACAGGGACCGAGAGATGGGACTGAAACAGCGACTCTGAGAACGATGGCGGCCTGAAGACGGTCTCCAGCCCCATTGGGCCGAAAAGGTCGCTCGCCTCGCCCAGCGCGCGCTCGCCTCTGATGATTCTCCTCTTCCACTCTGGAGTGGTATTGCCGCCTCCCTCACGCCGTGATTTGATCTGCATCGTCCCATCGCCATCGCCATCGCCATTGCCATCGCCCATACTGTTCACCGTGGAGGTCTGTCCCGAGTAGTGGTAGCTGTGGGGTTGGTTGCTGGCGCTGGAGCTGTCGCGATAAGGCCGTGGAGAGGGAGTGGGCGAGGTGTCGGCGTCGACCTCGTCGCAATCAGCCGGAAGGACAGGTGAATTGGTCGCAGAGACAACCTGCTGCGAGTCCCAGTCGTCGTCGAGGCCATCTAGCCACGGTTCCGCCATGTTTGGTTGCTCGACTGGCTGGCTGGCTGGCTGTGCGGTGGTCGTCGACTCGCTAGACTTGGAGATGTTCGGGCGACGCGCTTCTTCCCCCTGAGAGCGAAGTCATATCAATACGGGAAATTAAGATCCGTCACTCCAGCGAAAAAAAAGATTCCGCAACGAAGAGAAAAATACGCAAGAAGAATAAAACGAGAGTAACGATAGAGAACAGTAGAAAGAAGAAGACCACCCCGGAGCGACCAAAAGCGAAGAAGGAGTAAATTTGCTGTGATGATAGTTAGTTAATAGAAAGCAAGATAAATAAACAAGCGAGGATGGACAGGCGTTTATCAGCCACAGCTTCGCTGGCGGTCGTTTTTCCTTGGTTGTTTTTTCCCTTAGACGAAACCTGGGCCTGCAGATCGCGATTGTTCTCCCTTCCTTGCTTTTTCCTGCTGCTGCCTCTTGCTCTCCTCGCTCGTCTCTTTGCTCGCTTTGCTAGCTTTCTTATGCTCGCTTTTCTATTCGACCGTAAAAATAACAACATAAAAATTATTATTAATAATAATAAAAATAACAAAAATAAAAAAATAATATTGAGATATAAACAAACTTCCCAAAACAGCTAGTGTGAGATTAATCATGTCACGTGCGTTCTATTTTTGTCGCTTTTTTTATGCTTAAAATTTTGTTTATTTTTTTTTATTTTGACGACATGAAAAGAAAAGCTTTTTGCGACGACGAGAAAGAAACGGCAGACAAGGAAGACGGAGATACAGGCAGAGAGAGAGAGACGAGTTGCCGGGTGTTTGTGCGGTGTTGTCGGTGCTGCCCCCGTATGAGTACATAAAGTCGAAGGTCTCGGCTGTGTGGCGCTGGAATTTCTGTCGGCCCGCTGCCGCAGGTTTAGGTAGGTTGACCTGCCAAGCGGTTTGGTGGTGTGGTTGCTCCAGGACTAACATTCTGAAACTGGGCTTTCGGAGTCCCTCAGCGTCAGGTCTTGCACACGGTTGGTGCGGTTCGTCGCTTGCTTCGCATTTTAGCACAGGAAAGTGCTTCGGCAGCTTTAGAGTCGTTCTGGGATAGCCGCCAGGGCTTATTCGAAGCAAGGCAACAGCCGCAGCAGCTAGGCAACCATAGCCTTTTTCCTTCCTCCTCGCGCGTTTAGAGCAATCCCCTGTGACCGTTGAAGCCAGCCAAATCACCAGCTGTTGCCTTCGTGGCATATAATATTCTACCTTCGCTATATCGGGTGCTTTAGGGGATTAGTTGGTACGGTCCGCTAATTATATATCCTGTCAGCCCGCCCGTTGTGTGGCCTTCCGCAAATGCTATCCCAACTGTACACAGTGCTGCGTCTGTTGCTCAATGACCAGCCTGTACTCCGAGGGCACCTAATATCGAACTCCTCCTTCGTCGGCTCAAAATAATGCCCATCAAATTCCCGGACTCCTTCTTATCATCCCTATCGTTTGACCCGTTATCCTCTGCCTCATCAGACAGCGAGAGTGAGAAGGACGAAGCCGCCAGGGCTGCAAAGAGAAGGAGAATCGAACGAGTGGCACGAGATTACTTGCAGGGAAACCCGCCATTTATTTCAACGGCCACGCTACTTGGACCATTCGACGATGGTTGGGTCAATCCCTGGCGGAAGGTACACAACCCACGGTCTGTGTCTTTCCCTCACAGCACACAACAACACACTTCGCGGCAATGTGTGATACAAGCAGAGAAGCCTTCCGATCCACAAGCGGGAACGCTTCAGGAAACCCCAAACCTGTTTGCTGGAACTGATATATATCAGAAGAGCAACCATGTGGGCGAGTCCCAGTCTCGGCGTGTAAGCACGAACCCGGAAAGCCGAAGTCGAGCCAGTTCAAGACAGTCTTCTAAATCAAGGTCAGCCGCGGCATTGGATGTATGGTCGAAGAGAGACAAGTCACGACTGCACCTCGGGCTAGACGGGACACCAAAGTCTCCAAGCCCGTCACCATCGGTCAGATTAAGTAGCTCTCGCGTGTCGAAGCGCCCTTCCGAGAGGTCACACAGGAGCTCGTTGTCTCCCTGCCGCGCAGGAACACCCGCCAGTCAGGTCATGTACCATCGAACCATCAACTTTACAGCAATCAATGCACCTGCCCCCGCCGCTCGTCAACCGATTGCCACTACTCACGATCCCACTTCCCAGAACAAGCAAGCAGTCTTTCTCCAACATAACCACGGTGGAGGTAGCTCGGCTGAGTCAGACAAACTGCGGATGCTGCACAAGCCCAGTCTAGAGGAGTCTATTCGTGCATCAAAAGGTCCAAGCACTGCGGACAGTCCTTCCAGGGCTATCCCTACTCTCGAGCCTGTGCTATGCAACAAGAACCAGCATCAAGCAGATATACCCGCACCAACTGCAAGCAATCTTCTCGACGCCACAAACAACTCATCACTGGAAAATGCAGCTGCTTCAGGAAGGAAATCCGAACCCTTGCAGGAGAACAAGGCGATCGTTAACGAACGCCAGAAGGCCTCAATTACGTGTAACACTTCCGTCCCCCCTTTGAGCCTGAGAGAAAGTGAGGCACGAAAGACGGGCTCAACTCTCCCAGAGCAGGACTCCGAAACGATACCAGCCGCTCAAGTAGTTCCACCCATCTTCACTCCACCGCAGCTCACTCCATTTAGCTCTGCGGACCTGCTCCAACTACCGTTCCATCAAAGCAACGAATCCGCGGCGGAAGACAGCCGCACACCAGATTATATTAATAAGGAAAACAAAACTAGCAATCCACAAGCTTCGGTTCCGACTACACAGGAGCCAGGAATGAATGATAATGCGTGCCGGCCACCTCTGAAAGGAGCTCAGCAGCGTCCCACCAACCTACTTCGAAGAGCTGCGTCGAGCAGTTCGTTGCAGAAGGTCATCAAGCCATTCTATTCTTTAACTGGCAGCCTTCGGGCGATAGGTGCAAAGTCAAAACCAAGCATAGTGTCGAAGAATGCCCGATTCCACGACGAGAATACGGATATCAATAATGATCAAGCGAGTAAACACGAAGGGAAACAAGAGCAGACCGCTCCGGGGCCCGAGAGATTAGCACTGTCTGCATCCTGCCCTCCTGGTCCACGGCCTCAGCAGCAGATCAACGGCCCCTCCCAGCTGCCCACTCGGGCCCCTCCTGGGAGCTCTCTGGCGGGGGAGCAGCCCTCCACCACCTACTCTTCGGGAACACCATTGTCGCTTGCGATGGCCATGAGCGGGCTTACGGACCTTTCGACTCAGCCAGACGGCCAAGGCTTGCTCGTTTTGCAAGAGAACAACTTTGACCTGACAGGAGCGATCGAAGATGCTGAGAGCTTCCTTCAAAGCTGGGATATTGAGCGGGACCGACAGCTACTGCGAGATAACACCGCAGCAGCCAATGGCCTGAAACAGCCTACTCCCAAGGTTTAGGCACGAGCGAAGATCAAGATGTGTTGGTCCATACATACATACATACAAACATGTGTGCTAAATAACCTTGTTTCTTTTTGGTTCTTGCATCGTTCGCTCGCCCGTTTCTAATCTTTTTTTGAATTTTTTAAATTTTTTCCTTTTCTTGCTTTCTAGACTTTGATATCTGTCCATGCATCATCAATTGTCAGCATTAACAACATTTACATCAGCAACACCAGCAGCATCAGCAGCATAAGCATAGCATAAGCATCACCCGATAGCCCCATAGACATTGGTAATGATATGATACCCCGGCCTCGCCTTTTCTCCATTCTCCTATTTTTCCTGGTTTGCGTTCTTTTTTAGACGAGAAATCCCACGTCGGCAAGTAGAATTAACTTCCTGGCGGCGGAGCGAAACTCCACCGCCCACAGCCAGTGCGAGATTGTAGTTCGCAGAGCAGCAGCTCCATCTCGGCCGCCCATGATGTCACTCCTCGCCTCGGATGCGCCGGTCGAATGCCCGCCGGCCCTGCACTGCTACGTGTCGCAGCGTGGAACTTGCCATAGTCACAGCTCGCTTGGCGGGAGCAGGGCAGAAGGAGGGATGGCATGGAGGGGAGGGGCGAGCTCCGGCCGG